AAACCTGAGGGGTCCTCTTCCTCATATAGGTGATAATGAAGGTTTTGCATGTAATTAGCAGGAATAATTAGCACATTTCTGGTAACAAATAGACTGAGTGGTTCTCTGCAAATAAATTAATTGTTGTGCTAACACAGGCAATTGTCTCTTTATTGTCTGACAATGCCCCCTGTTTGCGCTAAAGCTTATTTCAGACCTTAGCAGCTTTACATAAATAGGAAAGAGAATCTATAAAATTGTACCTCGTCCATCTGCTTCTGCGAAACTTCTAGACCACCAAGGGACGTGTTTGTCAAGACTTGTTAAACAATTTGTAATCTTGAACATGTGTTGCACTATATTAACAAATGAATTGTTCAAATCAACTTAGTGGCTAAGCCAGAAAAACCACACTGATCAATCAAATGCAGACTTCAGGCATCTAGGAAAATAGATGTCTCTGTGAAAAAAGTACAGCAGTAAAATCATGGCAAAACTATGCAGAAGTAGAACAACTCCCAGAATTCCACATATAACCACAGAGCCAAGTGGAACTGTTTTCATATTCCTCATAATGCAAAATTACACTGTGATGTCTTAACTTTTTTTTCCCACTGCTGTAAACAGCTGGGCTTTGTATTATTTGCTACTGTATCCTCTGAGCAGCTGTATTTTCGATAAGGCATAATCAACCCATATTCTGTCTTTAGCTGCTCTTTCTGGAAAATCTAGCAAACTAATACTGATCTAGTCTTTCTCTCTGTTCCTTTTTTTTCCTTCTTTTTTTTTTTTTTTTTTTTTTTTCCCCCTGGACTTTTCCTCTTTTCATATCATCCCAACAACAATCTTATATGAGCTGCTGGATTTTCATAAATATGAAAGACCTTGGTTATGGTGAAGTCAATCTGCAGCTAAGTGTAATACCTTCCATTAATCTCTGAAGAGGGAGAAAGTTGAACGGATAAAATACAGTCTTAGGATGGGCACAAGATTTTATAATGCTTGCCCCCACTTGCATTCTAGAAAGTTCTCCAAAATGTCTCAAAAATCCCATGTAGAGAGGGCCAACTTTAGTGGACACGTAGTTTAACATTTAATGCCAGTTTTCTCTGAAGGCTCAGTAGCAAAGATGATGACTTGCAGAGGCTTTCTGGAATTTGCTTTTATCCATTTCTGGTAGCTTGACTTGCATGGGAGGATTAACTGAGGACACTTATGAGGGTTTGAAGGGTTTTTTTTTTGGCTGTTGCTTGGATTTTTTCCTCTTGATTTAGTTTTAATCTAATCTCTTCTGGGCACCAAGCAGAGCTGAAAAGTGAGTGACTTTTTATCTAAATTGAAGTGATAGCCATTGATCAGGTTGTCATCATCTGTCTTTGCTGTCATTGGAGCTTCCTCTGTGATCTGCAGTTGACTGAAAGAAATGAAAACTTAATTGAATTCTTTAGCTAGCTAGATGTTTATTTATAGATAGGTATGTTGAAGCATGGCGATGTAGGGCCCAATTCTGTTCTTTGCTGTGAATAGCAAAACTTCTGTTGATTTAATTGAAAGAAGGAACATCCTTCAGCTTACTCAAACGCAGAGTGAAACTCATCTTTGCATTGCAATTTGGAAGCAGTCTTGTTTGCTGACAGTAGAAGAGAAAACTAGGCCATGCTAGTAAGGTTTCAGGTAACACTCATCACATCTTTCTTTCTGCTTTTGTTTTCTTCCTATGGACTTGACACTGGAATATTGTGTCATATAGGTCTTAGACCATTAGAACATCATTAAATAGTACATTAGGTGGACAAGCAGCTGAGAGAAGTTTATGATCTTATCAAAKGAAAATTAATTTCTTCAATGTATGTGCTTAATAAAAAGCATGCAAGAATGATCAGCATTTACTAGCAATGCTTCAGTTTTGATCAGCTGCTGGGACCATTGCGTAGTTTAAACTGGATAACCAAGAGATTTAATTGCAATCTTCTGCATGGGAATTGCAACAAAATTTTATGAGGTCTAATTCTAAGCAGATGTGTTGTTAGTACCAACCTCTTCTGCTCACTGTGAATTGATTCCACCAACACACAGGAAATACTTTCCTCTACCTGTCCAAGTTAAAGATTAACATAGTTTGTCTGCTTGCAAGCTCTGTGCTGCTTTTAACTTAGTAAGTAAGCTTCTTGACCAAGGATTTGATCAAATGATGAAAAAAATCTTGAACTTTAACTTGTCAGCTTGATTTTCCATATAAAGGAGCATTTGTTTTGATTGAATGTTTACATTTCCAAGTGTGTATAATATTTATGGTGATAAATGTCCTTGAATTCTTCTTATTCATTCACCATGTATTTCTGGAGCTGATCTAAGTACTGAAATGAACATGGACATTTTGTTTAATTTGAAAACATAGGAGAGAGTTTTARGAGCAAAGACTGGCCTCTGTTGCCCTCCCTCTGTATTGTGTAGGTGCCTTTTCACCTCTATTTAAGGTCRGAAAAAATGTTGACTCAGAGCAGCAACCTTTTGTATTTTTTTCTTTTTGGATCTTTACCCATTGCTCCTTCTGAACAATGAAGTTCACAAAGGAAATACTCTTGAAGCATTTATTCTCTGTCRTAGTCTGCAAGTTATGAGAAGCAGCTCAGTGTTAATTGGGGCTTTGGGATACTACAAAGGGGCAAAAATATTTGTCAACCTTGAAAGTTAAATATTCCTAGCTCTAATGCTTGGTTTCCAGCAATCAAAGCAAAGAACAAACGCTGTGAGTTAAGCTGCAATATATTTGATATTGGGACGATAGTTTTTAGGGAGCAGTAGCTTCTTTTGCCCACTGCAAGTTGTATTAGTGCCAACTACTCATAAGTTGTATGCTGCCATTTAGAATGAATGAGGGCATGGAGTATGAAATTTCTTGATGGTTGCACTGTCTTTTCCTATTTGGAGGAGTATTTATTGCTTTGATGGTAGAAAATGAAATCATACGCACTGAGCTACTAAAATGTAATAGATAATTTCACTSTATGCTAAAATCTAAAGATAACCAAAAAGACCTGTTTATGTCTATTCACAGGGATATCCGTGGATATCTGTGGATTACAGTAAGTGAGGCTGAGGGTTCAATCACCGAATCTGCTTTTTGAATAGAGATGTTATACAGGGAGGGTTGAGGCTGAGAAGAGTAAAGAATAGCCTGCTTTCAGAAATAAAGATATTAGGGGAAGAGCAAGGACACCACAGCAAAAATCTTGCATGTGTTCAAAATATTAGGTACCTAGGTGGGGTATCTAATATTAGGGGGTAGCTTTTTCATAGATGGTAAGAATACGCTTAATTACATGAAAAAATAGATCCCAAAATGCAAATCAATTATTGACTCCTCAAAAAAACAGTTTGCCAGATTTCGAAATCTACAGTCAGTGTACCCCTCATAGGAGCAATTGTGTGATAGCAAAGGTTGCCAAGGATGTTTTGTAACCAGTGTCACTGGGATATGCAGGATTCAACAAGATATTTATCTGTTAGGGGTGGTGTTGGATTAGTGAAATTATGCTGCAGGATGCTTGGACTTGCAYAGCCTTTGAAATCTTACAGGGTCTAAGATTTTTCCTAACCCTTATGATTTTAGCAAGAACTAATTGCATTGCAAGAACTGATTGCAAGAACCATTGCAAGAACTGATATATAATGGCATCAGCAGTAAAAAGAAAATATGTATTTTTTAAAACCTTTTTCTCTGGTTTAGGTAATCTTTTCTTCATTCTTGTGATATACAGGTTGATTTTTGCCAGCGTGAATACATTTTACATAAAATGTCTGGTATCAAAGTGAAAAAGAGCAAAATGAAATACAAAAGGAATAGATTTTAATTGTGATTAATGCTTAATAATGATCATTGTTTCCAAGTAAAAGCAAATGTTCATAGCCATTTCTCCTTGAGAAGAATAGATGGTTTGGAATTGATCACTGGAGGCCTTTCTTCACCAAAATAGARTAATGCAGTATCACATATGGAATTATCCAGTATTTATTGAGAAACAAACAAAACCTGATGAATTTGTAAAATTGCATGTGTTAAGATTGGACCTAGCAAATCAATTTTGTAGTGGGCTTAACTACATATTGAGCTGGTAATGAACAGCCATTCCAGAATAATTTCAGAATAATTCCATGTGGCAATGTATTTATTGCAACTAAATCTCCCCCCATGCTCCTGGTTATTCAGGAATAGCTAGTACTCTTAAAATTCACACGCCCTCTTAAACCTAGTTGAAGCATAAACAGATTGTCAGAGAGTCGATGATGATCACATTAATCTCTTCCTGATGTCAGAGTGCTTGCTAGTAGTTGTTTCAGGAAAAACACTATGGCCCAGATTTAGCACGCCTAATTCCAGCACTAGGCTGAGATATCTTTGCTAAGGTTGTTGTATTTTTAACTCTGCAGTCAGGCACATGTTGATAAAGCTTCTGCACAAGGCCAGTCAGAACCTAAGGCAAAGGCAGAAAAGAAGCAACCTGGAAAACTGGTTCATCAGAACAGAAAAACAAAAGGAAAAGATAACTGATATCAGCTTATACATATATGGTGCACCATGATTTATGTTGGCAGAGGAATGACTTAGTGAAACTTCTGTTCCTGGTAARTGTGGTGGAAGTTGGGGCAGTGACGTCTTTTGATTCTACGTGTAAATCTAACAGCGTTTAAAAGCTGGAAACCTGATTCTGGCAAAATGCTCTAACTTGGCGTGAAGGMTGAATAATAGTCATCTGTTCTGGGGCTCTGTTGCTATTCTTACTTTAACTCTGGAACACTGCAGTGGAAAGTATCAGTGAGCTGTATCTCCTGAGAAAATCCCTTGTTGTTTTGAACCAAATCTTTGCCTGTGAGGATATATCCAGATATAAGATAATATCCATCAGAGACAAAAATAAATATGGGTATGGCTTCCATCAGCAGCTCCACTGCAATTAAAAAAAACAGTCATGCACATCTTCTAATAACCTTCTGTGTATTTTCATCCTTGAGACTCAGGGAGAGAGGACCTTTGCAACAGTAGTACACATCTTCATTTCTGAAGCTGTGAGACTGATCTAACTTAGTTATTGACTGGACGCAAGCCAAGTGGTGATGACCACTCATTTCTACACGTGAACGGAATATGAGGTGGGTGCAAGTCAGAAGTATGTTGTTAGGAAAGTGAGCTTTCCAGGAATGCAAAGTATGTTTACATGACCCATTTGTTAAGTAGTTTCAAGTAGACAAGCTTGCATCTGATCTATGTGACTGGATAATTCACAGAAAATTCTTAAATTAGCAGGCTAAACTCATCAATATAAATTTACTCACTGCAATCAAAACTTGTTTCAAATAGTCCCATTGTCTTATGTGAAAAAGCTTCCTTATTGCATTTAACCTCACTAGAGGCCCTCCTAAATACTTTTGGTAAAATGGTGGCTGACTGAAATTAGTAGGGAAGCTGTTGTGCATTCCCCCGAGGATTTATCTACTCTACAAAAGAAACCTTCTGATAAAAGTAAAATATATATAGGGTTTGCGTTTATGTTGGAAAGACATTGAATCTGAAAATTCTGACTATACTTAATTAAACCCTCTTCTCCATTACTCTGTTGTTTAACCTGTTCTTAACTAAAAAATGATCARTTCTGGGTACATTGTTCTACATATGGAATTTAAAATTCCTGAATTATCTTGATCTTATATTTTAATCAATAAAAAGATAAAAAAAATTYGTATTTTAGCCAATTGCAGATATCAGATGCTTATGTCAGTTTGTGAATATTATTTTACATGATGGTGAATAGACATTTTAAGTCATGCTTTCTGTATGTAAACCAACTATTTAGTCTCATAATTTTCTTTATCCAGTTTCATAATTTTCCTGAGGGTAGCTTATATTTAATAATATATGCACTAATTCATCAAGTGAAAGAAAGTCAAAGGCTCTCTGAGAGTCCAGATATCTCTGCTGCTATAGTTCACATCAATGGCTATTTCTCCTGGAACCTTGAAATTAGTAAGACTAGTTTGATGTAATTCAGTTCATAAATCCGTTATGATCTGGTTTTATACCTCTTTATACAATTATAAATCTCATATCTCTAATGTCTTAATCTTATATCTCTTTTTTTTCTACTGATTTTTAGCCATTTCAAGAGGAGTTAAAATAAACCTCTGAAGTTGAAAAACCTCTGAAGTTGAAGAAATTGCCTAGTGATCTCAGTGAGTTGTGGAGAACATATTTTTTTTTCCCCATTATTTAGTTTTAGAAGTATTAGCCCAGTTATATTAGCAGAATTCATACAGAAATGTACTTTGCAACATGCTAGTGTAGGCCATGGTATTATTAAACATAAGTTGCTTTTCTTTTTTTGCAAGCTGTTATGTATATTATATATTCATATATATAATATATATATTCCTTAGGCTGATATATTCTTGCAGAGTCCACATTTTAACATATGTTTAAAAATACTGTATGAGCTATACTAAAACAAATGAGAAAAAAAATCATTAACAAGTAATGTCATAATTGTTTAAAACTGGAAAAAAAAACAAATCAAAACAAAAAAAAAMCCATAAAAAGCAGAATCAGGACCAAGAAAGTGACCTGAGACAATAACTGGTATAAAGACACCTCATAAGGGCCTTAGCAGGTGGRGAAGGGCATTCTGTAGTAAATACAGATATCAAATTATAAATATAGCCAAGCATRAGGGTAACTGGGTTATTGCTGTTTTTGTATACATGCTTTTTCGTTCCTAAAAATGTTAGATGCATGCGTGTTTTTTAAAAAGTTTTCCATAATCCAGCCATTGAGCAACTTCACTTGTCAAGGCATCTGCTTTGGAGATGTACTCATGTTTTGATGAGCCTTAAAGCATCGTAGGTTTTGACATAATACTGAAATGAAATCTTTGATGCTCGACAGCTACTGGCTGCATGGAATGGTTTTTTTAAGCTTTAGTGTGATGTTTACTACACATAATATGAATACACATCATTTTAAGCACGGTTTTCATTTCCTTTACCCAGAGCATTCTGCAGATGTGCTAAATTCAGGAGAGTTAACATCCTTTCGGTGAAGAATGCTGGCAATTTTAACAGCTCCGAGTGTAAGAGTGTAAGAGTGTATGTGTGTGTGTGTGTGTGTGTAAGTGCAGAGGGCATGAAAAGGCAGTGGGGAGTTTTGCATGTCGAAGTGCCCTCAGATGCAAGGCTGGAACTGACATGAATGTCTTGGTATCGCTGACCCGGTGCTCGCTGCACATCAGGGCTGCAGTTGGGAGGCTGTCAGCCTTAATAAAATAAAAATGAATGTACCTCAGAAGCAGTTGCAAATGCTGTTATGGTAGTAGTGATGTAACCTGTAAAGCCAGATGGTGAACTTCTGACTCACGAGTGAGCAGCACAGGAGTTGTCCCTTTGTCATGGAGTTACTGTGGCCAGGGAGACCTAAGAAGAAAGTGCAGGAGCAGAGATCTCCTGTTGGCAGCAGTGGCTGCTGTCTTGCTCCTTTCTGATCTACAAGTTGATCACAGACCCACTTAGAACATCTACGTTATGTTGATGTTATGGCAGCCCTTAGGGAAATTTCTGGGCACCATTTTATTTAGTGTYTATTAAAGCTGGCATTTTCCCAGGTGCAGTGCACCAGCACTGATTTCACTCAAAGGACGATGACCTCTGCTTTTGTGCAGCGCTGATGGCAACAATATGAAGCCAATGTCCAAGTCTGCGGGAGAGCCAAAAAGGAGCTGGGCCCTGCGGGATGAGGAGTTTCCCAGGGCATGAGCTGGAGCTGTCTGCACAGGAGGGACCCTGGTGGCCAGAAGGTAAGGGAACGGAGAAGAGCAGTGGCTGGAATGCAGAGGTGTTTGCAGAGCTTATAGCTGCTGTACTTTCTAGGAGGGCAGACTTGGATTTTGAAATAACTATTTTTATTTTATTTTATTTTATTTTATTTTATTTTATTTTATTTTATTTTATTTTATTTTATTTTATTTTATTTTATTTTATTTTATTTTATTTCAGTTTATTTCAGTTTATTATTTATTTATTTTTCTTCTTGCTTAATAAGGTAGGCCTTTGTATACATTCTTTATAAATAAGCAGGGCAGTAAAAAGAAATACCAATTTATATTATCAGTTCCTCCTCCAAAGAGAAGCAAGCAACAAAAGCCCAGTTACTGGCAACCTGGCAGCYAAAGGGGAAAGAAACTTTCCTTAATTTAATCAGCCTCAGTACCCATGGCAGATTTTCAAGTGTGCCTAGCCCTCATCCCTGCGTCTGGGGCCACTCCTGTGAGGTGTTGAAAATTCTGGCCCCAAGCCAGCCACAGGATGGATTGTGTGAGTGATTTTAAATGTGCAGTGTGGTTTCAGTTGGACTATTTATATRCTTAAATTAAACGTGCTTAAGTGCTTCACTGGTGCAGAGCCAGAATGCCTGCTACCTTACAGGACTGAGTCCTTGGAAATCTAGTTAATACAACTCAGAACCAAAATGGGGACAAAGTTCYTTTGAAAACCTATCCACTGTGTTAGGTGTCTATATGTTGAACGCTGTTTTTTTCTGTAGATCTAGGCTTTAAAAATGTACCCTGGTAATTTATACTTATGAGCATTTTAGTAGAAAAATGAACTTGTTAGTTTTATACCAATTCTGAACACTTTTTCAACATCTTAAGATGGGGGATTTAATATAAACTAAACAACATATGGGCTACCAAAGGTTTTTTTGTTGTTGTTGTCATTTCAGACATATAATTTAGGACCATTCCAAATAGTGTAAAGTTTTTCATTTTTGCAGAATGTCTCAAAATAAATTTGCAGCAATAGCTATTGAGATACAGATTACATTAGTTTTCATGCATTGAGTCTTGGATCTGGTACTAAATGGATACTTTGTTTTCCTTCGATTTAGGAGACAATATCTATCTGTGCTGTTTGATGGATATTCCTAAGACTGTATTTATCTATGCAAGGTTTGGTGGTGGTGTTATKCTTACAAATTTCTATAATTTGTAAAAGACATACTTTACAGCTGCAAAASGGAACCATTTGCTAGAGTTAATTTCGAGTGATGAATTGATGAAAAATGGATTTCTTGGTTGTTTATCAACCTTCTGTTTTCCTGCTTATGTCTAAAATAACCTAATTGCTGAGGACCATCTTGGAAGATAAATATGGGACTACATTTAACTTCACTATCCTTGTGCTGTTATTCAAAATATAAGCACCATGGAATAACTTTTATGGCGGGTTTATTTAAAAACTAGGTAAATCTTAGTRTTATGTAGCAAAATCACAGCTCTGAGCAAGCAGTTTAAACTATAAAAATATATTGTCAYTATAAAAATATATTGTCTCATAATATGAAAGATGTTTGTGAAAATTTTTCTTCTGTAATCTAGAGTTCCTAGTTTGTGACAATTCATTACTTTATCATACTTCAGAGGATGTCTTAGTGGCTTGGGAATTGCTTTAATGCATCAGAAGGAGCTTAGGTCTGCAGTTTTGCCACTAAATAGTACCATCATCTTCCATATTCTCTAGAAAGCTGTTCTCTTAGTGATGAGTCAAATATCCAAAAAAGGAGATGTGATGTACGAATAAATCTGGAACACTGCACACAGTGTACTTASTACCTGTCAGCCTGAAAAAAAAATAGAACAAATTAAAAGTTTTAAGTCCTTACTAGTTACAGAGCGGAGTTTATGTTCAAATCAGCCTCATTATTAAAGATCTGAATAGGATTAAAATGTATTGCCAATTTTTGAAAAAGCTCCAAATGGCATATAAGATGCTTCAGATACTTAATCTGGCCTCTGTGTTGTTCGAAATGTAAGAAATATAATAAAAGATTAAAAAAAAAAAGTAAACTAGTAAAAACCAGTGATAAAATTGGTAAGAGTAGCATGGATGATGGCAGACTAGGAAGAACTGCAAAGAGACCTTATGAGACTGATTGGTTAGATAATAAAATAGCAAATGAAATGAAACATAAATACACAAAAAGTGTTGCACCTAGAGGGAGATAATCCTAGCTTCATGTACGGAATAGTAGGCTTTGAGGACCATTACCTTTCAGCAGTGAGACTTTGATGTTAYGATAAAAGTCTCATGAAAACATCAGCTCAGTGCTCTGTACACTTTAGAAAGCAAATATAATATTATGAATTCTTAGGAAAGAGAGAACAAATCAGAAAGCATAATTATGGCAATATTTGTATTCAGCATTTACCCATGCCTTGAGTAGTACCTGTAGTTCTACTCCTCTTGTTCCATTATGGTTATATTAGAAACTAAAAGCATTCAGAGAAAAGCAGTGTGAATGATCAAAGATATGGATCAACTTCCATACTAAGTAAGATAGGATTCTTTAGGCTGAAAAGAAATAACTTGAAGTCTACAAAATCATGACTGGTATGCAAAGGGTGGATGAAGATCGACTATTCATTGTTTCTTCCARTACAATAATAAGAGACCATCAAATGTATCTGGAGGGTTCTTAGTTCAGAACAGTTGAAATGAGATTTTTATTTCTGGAAATGATTGAACTTGTGTGGACTTGTTAMATTTCTTGTCAAAAGGTGTTTTAGATGCAAAATATTTTCATGAGTTCACAAGGGAATGGCACAATGTGAGAGAAATCCTCTGGAGGGTACTAAATAGACAAAACACATCAGGCTCAGGAGCACCCCAGAGCTGAAAGCAGCTGGAAGCTTGGAGAATATTTAGATGGAAGTATCATATATGGTTACCTTCTTAGTCTTAATGTGCTTATGGTCACTGCTGGAAACAGGATATTGGACTGGGTGGATCTGTAATTTGAACTGCTGTGAGCATTCTCATGTTCACAATAAATAYGATGTGGGATTTTAAAAAAGCTTTTGAAAAGCTTTCTACTGTTTTAAGATGGAAAGCCTTCTCGTGAACTAATAGCTACTCAGAGGTAAAAATCAGGGAGAAGAATAAATAACCAGTTTTCATAGAGGGATTGTCAGTGTGTTCTCTCATAGAGTCTATCATAGGAATCTGCATTGTTCCATGTGTTTATAAATGAGCTAGAAAAAGTCTATGGGGGACTGCTAAACACAAGACGTGGATATGGCTTTTGAATCAAGAGATAAATGAACTGCAAGTAGCCATAMGCTGAAGGGTAGAAGAAACATCACTCGATACTTGTTCAATTTTTACAGTTTTTTCTTAAGTATCTGTTCCTGGTCAGCCACCTTCAGGCACTAGTCAAATGATTGGCYTGACTTTGGCTAGCCAATCTTAAACTCTTACGAGTCAAGTATACCTGTTTTGTTTACTTGTCAGACTACAGAAATGAAAAAGAAAGTACATTAGTTGTTGCAGTTGTGTCAGTCTGGAGTCAGATCATGTAGAAGCTGTAGTATTTTTATGAATTAATTTGCCTTTTTTTTTTTTTTTTTTTTTTCTGGCAGTAATTGCTGAACTCTATCAATTGACTGTTCTGTTATTTCCTCTGTTTCTAACGGCTCACAGGCTTTGGTGTCTAAATAATAGTTCCTTGCAAGGTATTTTCATAGGGTAGTTTTGGGCCCAATTTTCTCCTTTTCTAACTTTGATTTCACATATCTTGTATTTCCAAGAAATGATCCTGATTTCTTCTTGAGTGTGAGAGGCAAATGGGGATGCATTCACAACATTCATATCTTATTTCTGCCGATAGGAATGCCTGAAAAAATCTTTGAAAAGGCTCATTCATATATCTATAAATACTTCTATCTTGTTATATTTAGTGGACTAATTGTGATAAAAAGGGCAATTGAAAGCCTACTTGATGATTATGTTCAACAATTTCAAACAGTACAGACATAAGCAGTACTGATTCTCTACTTAAAAATTGGCTATGGAAGTTAAATTTAAAGGCTCTGAGCCCCTGGAGTGGTGCTGAGTAAACATCTAACAATAATAATATATTTGATACATGAGTGCCACTACTAGCTTAAGTCCACTTCAGGATATCAAGAATCACAGACACCTTATTCTCACTTAATTTCTGTATTTAATTTGTTCATATAACACAATATTTTGGATTATAATAGAGACCAAAAGGTCTCAAACAGCTCATTCCATGAAATAAGCCGAGAAATGCAGGAGAGGCCCAAACAGTCCAAAAGCAGCTAGCTTTTTTACTTTTTTAATAACAATTTTCAGATTTTTAAATTGCCTATTATTTAAGACTTCTGAATTCCTTCTGTAGCATGAATTCTTTAGTTTGCAGGAGGGAAATATCTGTTGCTGGCAGACTGCTTACTTTGGACAACTTTAAATGACCTGCTTTAAGCATCTCAAATGAAATGTCAGTTGAATAATCAGGAGATTAATTACAGTTCTGAATCATATGCTGCTTCGGTAGCCAGCAGCCAGAGCAGGCATGATGTTCACTGGTGACTGGCCTTGTGGTGCACACATGTGAATCCTTTGAAATATTATCAAAGTAAACACTCAAGGCAGGAACTCGTCATCCTGAGGCATTAATTTTAACAGGTAAGCTTGACTTCTCTGAATGGTATTGCAAGATGTTGGGTATTGGAAGCGCTGAAATTGAAGTTGTCAACATTAAAGAACTCTATGTAGGTTAAAGTCAACAGGGCTGGGCTTTTGCCTTTCTCTTTCCACCTATCCAGGTCAAAAATTTCCTTGTATATAAGCAAGCAGTCTGTTTTTGTTTGTTTATTTGGTTTTCTTCCTCTCAGCAGAAAAAAAAAAAGAGTCTAACTTAATAAAAATAAAATAACTTTAAATTAAATTGC